GAAAAGGCTCGTACGCGGGGTAAAGGCGGTGCAGAAAACGACGGAGAAATGCAGGCACGCCGCTCGCGATACTTAGGCGAAAATCACATTTTGGAGGATTCGAACCAGTCAATACCAGCAGAATCAGATGCAATTGAAGGAACTATTCTTAGGTGTACTATATAACAGGGAACTACGAGCAGGCCAGTCACCCGGTGGAGGCTTAGTACACCGCATCGAGCACGCTCCCAGAGCAGCCCGCAGCTTTATACAAAGTTATAGCCGATTCCCGCACCTTGAAGAAGAGATCAAGAGGAAGGCTCACGAACTGCTGTAAGAGGACAAAATTTGACAGTTAAGTAACGCGTTTGGAGAGCTGAAAGGAATCCGGAGCTCTTCAGTGCTTTCTGAATTCATGACGCTGTGTCGAACATAACGCGGACGCATCAAGAGTATGCTTGCACGAGGGTTCGCCTTACAGCACGCTCTTCAGCGAGGCGTGCTGTAGCCCAGGAAAACTGAATCTTATCCACAAATGCCCCAAGCATCTGCTTTTACCCTGTTGAAGCTCACGATTTCCCTCGGCTACGATCGACAACTCTCGTTGTAACGACAGACTTAAAGCTACACGTGGTCTCGCCAGTATCATCTGCTGCGAATTCCCCATCCCATACTGCACGCTCTCGCCAATGCACATCTAAGTCTTCGCATGCACAGGGCTGCAGCAGATCGCTAGCACAAAACAGCGGCTTATGATTAATCACCCAAACTCGTGCGCAAAGCCATTGTGATGAGGGAATCCTCGGCCCTTTCGAAGGACTGTAAGGGGACTGCTGGCGCTTATCTGCTGAGAGCCGTGAAGTGCGATAAAGCTGAAATACTTACGAGCTCCCCAAAAGCAGCTGGTCTCCTCGTCAGTCACCAACCAGCCTGGGATCGGCGGCCCAAGCACCTTGGGCGGGGCGAGAGGAGGCGAGCTAAAACGAGTTGCAACGCACCCTGCCGCAACACGTGCAGCAACGCAACTCCAGATATCTATACAGCCATGCCTTGTCGCTACATGCACTAAAATTATATATGATGCAATGTAGGTAAAGAGTTAAAGCAAGAGTTTCCCACAAGCAGCTGACCTCCTTCCCCTGTCCTTAGGCGTCCTGGGCTTTGAGCGCAGGGCCTGCGTGTTGCGGTGAGGAGGCAGCAAAGAAATGGGGTTGCAGCGCACCTCGCTGCTGCTGGTAATTCTGCCAGCCCCACGCGTGCACACGAGGAAGCTTCAACGAAGCTTGCTTTGCCGCATACTTTGCCTTAAAATGTATTTATAGAACG